TGCTGCTGGTTCTGGTTAAGGAGCAGAGCAGAGCGCTGTGGGACCTCAGAGCCACGCTTTATCAGATGCTCCCGGCTGGCTTCCACACCACATTCTTCCCCTCTGCAGCCTCTCATGGCGCCACCCTGATCTCAAAGGCCGGTTTCTCAGAGATCAGCTTTCTGGTCCTCAATGTTTGCCGCTTCCTCGAATCAGCTGGACTGCCTACCCATACCTGACTTCACAAGAGGCTTTCCAGCGCTCCTACGGGAGGAGAGGACCCCATCCTAGGATCGGACCTTTAGAGCATCTCTAGCCAAGACCAGCTGACACTTCCAGGTATCTCCTCGCAGAACTGGGGCTCACAGGCTCTCCGCACCATGGTCCTGTGAATACTTCCAACATGTCAGCTTGTGAGCACCTGACTCCCACCTGTCCCTGGGTGGCAGTCATCTTTCCCTGCTCAGAACATGCCGGGAAAACCAGGAGTGATGCATACCCTGCCTTCTGCTTATGCCTTGAGACATGTCTTTCTGTTCTAAAAAGCCCTGGAAACCCATCTACCTTCCCCCGTCATCACTACAGATCATCAGACCACAGACACAGCTGGTTAATGACCTTCCTGTACACAACAGTCTGATGGAGGGGAAATCAGGCCACACCCAGCTGTGTGTAGGGCTATTTGTGGCTGTGTGTCAGGGTTCACTATTGGTGATGTCTGGGGACAATATGTATTTCTATGGACCAAACTGGGGTTGGCTGCGTGCAAGCTGTATTCTCTCTCCAGCCCTAAGCAGTGTCTCTTGTTACTATGATTATTCATCATTGCTGTTATTGCTTGGGCACACCTGGCAGAGCTCAGGGTTTACTCCTGACTCTGCACTCAGGGATCACTCTTGGGGTGGTAGAGGGACCTTATGGGATGCCACAGATCAAACCCAGGTCAGCCATATGCAAAGCAAATGCCCTACCCACTGTATAAGCGCTCCAGGCCCATAAGCTGTCTTTTTTTCCCTTTCGTTCTTTCTTTTCCTTTTTCTTTCTTTCTTTCTTTTTTCTTTTTGGGCCACACCCAGCAATGCACAAGGGTTACTCCTGGCTCTGTACTCAGGAATTACTCCTGGTGGTGCGTGGGGGACCATATGGGATGCTGGGAATCGAACCCGGGTCAGCCGCGTGCAAGGCAAACGCTCTACCCACTGTGCTATTGCTCCAGCCCCTTGAGCTGTCTTTTAAAACGCAACTAATAGCTGTGAGAAAGGGGAGACCCAGCCCACTGCAAGCACGCAGAGTTGGGAGGATACGGAGCATTGGGAAATCCATTCTTGCCCGTGGAAACACAAAATGGAGCAGCCTCTCTGGAGCAGTCTGGGATTGTCTCACTGCCTAGCCCAGCCACTCTGCTCCGTGGTTTCCCCAAAGGAGCCAAAACTCCAAATGGTACAAAACGAGGACTGGGGGCAGTCAAGGTGCCCTTCAGTAAGCAAAAGGAAAGTGGGAAACATGGTGCATTTGCAAAGGCTCCAACCACGCAGCCTGTGAGGCTGGCCCCTGGGTCAAGGCTGGGGTAAGGGCCATCCTTTTGGATCCGTGCCATCAAGTCCTTATCTACAGTCACAGACGCAGCAATCATGGACGCTGGTGGAGGGGCGGGCTGGGGGAAAGGGGTGTCGGTATAGGCCCATCCTTTGTGATCAGTGCTTGGGGCTGACAGTGGGGGAGACTGTGATGGTGGGGTGGGAGGAAATGAGAAGTCTGCAAACCTGACCCTCCGTCTTGCTGCTTTAACCTACACCGGTTCACACAATGCGAGGCACTCCCTAATTCGAACATTTCAAGTCCCTGGCCGTCCCAAAGCCCTGAGAGCACTGCATGCTCTGGTCATCTCAGACCCTGAGTTTTGGGTGCCCAGCACATTCTAGAGCTCCTGATCTAGGGATCAGCCAGTCTAGACCATTTCCGACTGCCTGTTCTTGCTCCATGGGGTCCAGCTTCCTCAGTAAAGACACAGAAATGAGGATGTGTTTGAAATTAAATGAGATGAATACTACATATGAAACATAAAGGATTCATTTCAGACTTACTGAGCATCTGCTATGTCACAGACACAGAGCAGAGTCCACACTCAGCTCCAGCTAAAGCCCTGCTGAGCAGTGAGCAGGCACAAAGGAGGCCAGCTCAGGAGATCACGCAAATGTCACAGAGGAAACTCAGCAGAGGAGGATGGTGTGGGGTGGGTCCACAAGGGCAGTGCTCACGGAGACCTGATGCAGGGAAGCAAGAGGAGCCTTGGCTGACCATTCAGAACCAAAGGCAGTTATTCTGGAGTGAAGGCTGGTTTTCCGGTTGCTCAGTTAGGAGAGAAAGACTCAGAATTTCCATTGATTGTGTCTTGGAGATTAAACAATGCTGGCCACAGTCCTTGCTCTCTCTGCAAGAACAACACAGGAAGAGTCATACTCTCTCTTGCCTGTCTTGTCTGTCTGAAGAGTGAAGGAACAGCAAAGAAAGGGCAACAGTGCCAGCTGGTGCCAGGACAGAGAATAAGTCAGCCTGCGCCCCTGCCACGGGGCAATGATGGCTTGCCCAGGGCCTATGTTTACTATGTGGGGCTCTCGCTAGGAGGGTCCTGCTCCCTGCTGTCCCTGCACCCTGCGGGCCAGTTCCAGGTTACCTGATTCTGTGGATGTGTAAAAACAAGCCAGGGAGGACTTTGATCGCATGAACTGCACCTAGAGGGACTGGCAAAGAGGCAACTAAGGGAAAGAAAAGGCGCATGCAAGAAACGAAGAGTCATTGGACCATCACTATGGTCACAGGTGTGACCACAGGCCTTTGGGAAATCAGACTGCAGGCTGACTGCAGCCAGTAGAGGGATCTGTGGGGACCTGAGGCAAGAGTTTGTGCTGGCAGGATGCTGAGAAGAGGAGGGCTGAGCAGTGGCATGGCAGGACCAGACCCTCCCTGGAGAGCTCGGGTTTTATTCTGAGAGTCACGGGAAAGTGAGCAAGCATAAGTTGGGTGAGAAAAGGGACTTCAGGAGTAAGGCGGCAGTGGGGGAAGGAGGATCTCAGGGCCACTCGGTCACTCGGTTGAAGTTGGGAGGGGCGTAGGCAAACTAAAGAGCATGTCTCTAGTTTGTTTGGTTTTGTTCTGAGGCTCAGTCCTGGCTCTGTGTTCAGGGGTCACTCCTGCAGGGCTCTGGGGACCATATGGGGCTTTGGGGATTGAACCCAGGCCAGTCACATGAAAGGCAAGGTTCCTACCTGCTGTACTCTCAGCTCTCCAGCCCTTCAGGAATACTTTCTAGGAAGAGAAGCTAAAAGTTGCAATAGGGGGGTTTGGAGCATTAGCATAGTGTGTAGGGCATTTGCCTTGCATGTGACCTACCAGGGTTCGATTCCCAGCATCCCATATGGTCCCCTGAGCACCGCCAGGAGTAATTCCTGAGTGCAAAGCCAGGAGAAACCCCTGAGCACTGCCAGGTGTGACCCAAGAAGAAAAAAAAAGTTGCAATAGATTAAAGAAGTAAAGTAAAGAGCGGAGCGATAGCACAGCGGGTAGGGCGTCTGCCTTGCACGCAGCCAACATGGCTGACCCGAGTTCGATTCCTCCGCCCCTCTCGGAGAGCCCAGCAAGCTACCGAGAGTATTCGATATGCCAGACACAGTAACAACAAAGTCTCCAATGGAGACGTTACTGGGCCCGCTCGAGATTAAAGAAAATCAAAGCAAATTCCCAAGGTTTTTAATAAATAATAATAACCATTCTGGGCTGGAGTGATAGCAGGGCTGGAGCGATATCACAGCGGTAGGGCCTTACCTTGCACGCAGCCAACATGGCCGACCCTAGTTCGATTCCTCCGCCCCTCTAGGAGAGCCCGGCAAGCTACCGAGAGTATCGAGCCCGCACGGCAGAGCCTGGCAAGCTCCCCGTGATGTGTTCGATATGCCAAACACAGTAACAACAAAGTCTCCAATGGAGACGTTACTGGGCCCGCTCGAGCAAATCGATGATCAACGGGAGGGCCTTTACTTTACTCGAGCAAACCATTCTTTAGGGTTTTTGAGAGTGCATGTGTTAGTCATAGCTCTAAATTCTATCACACACACATGCACATACACACACTTCCCTAAGTACTACCACACACACACACACACACACACACACATTTCCCTAAGTACTATTACACACACACAGACTTCCCTAAGTATTATTAAACACACACACATACACACACACTTTCCTAAGCACTATTACACACACAGACTTCCCTAAGTATTATTACACATACACAAACACACAGACCAAACACACACACACACACACACACACACACACACACACACACACTTTGCATAAGATGTCAGCCTGGAAAATGCCAGCATCACCTCTTTCAAAGGCAGGGAAGGGAGGCACAGAGCAGCCCCATAAGGAGTATGAGTTACAGAGGAGGCTGGCAGGAATCAACCTGCTGCCCTTGCTCTGCCCTCTGTTGGCTACAAGATGGTGTGAAGCCCTGGGATTAGACTACCCCAGAAGCCCTGATGCACTCAGAACTGCCTGAGGGTGTCTTGTGGGGTCAGTGAGAGTAAGAGCATGGACAGGACAGTAGGAGCAGAGTGCTGGACAGGCGTAGAGAACCCCACTCTGCAGCTAAATCAGACTCACCATTGTCTGGGCCCCCCATCTCCGCTCCACCCCTCCCAGTAATACTGCTTGGGCATCTGAATATCTTTCTCCTCTGACGCCCCAACAGAGTCGATCTCCTCCACCCAAATTCCACTCAAGAGAAAGGCAGCTAAAATGTCTTCAAGGAAACTCTGGGACAGGGAGAACACTGATGTCCTTCCCCACTCTCTTGCAGGAACATGGAATAAAACAGCCACCACGGGTTGTCAAAATTTGGTTTTCTGAACAAAGTTCCAGCGAATGATTCTGTGCCGGAGATTCATTGGTGCCCATGCTGGGAGGGGGTGAGAGGGCACCACAGGCTGAGTCACAAGCACACACCCACTCACCGAGGCTTCCGACGTAGACAGCTGTCTCTGCAGCCCTGTTCTGGGAAGACTCTCCCGTGGACACAGGAGGTGCAGCTGCAGCTTCCCAAAGAGCATCTTCAGCAGAGCAGTTACACTGATGAGAATCCCGGACTCAGAGAAGTAAGCCAACGGCCAAGAAAACACGCCAACGAGACACCGGCTGGGGGCTGTATGCTCACAGAGAACACACAAAGAATTGGGAGGCTGCATTTCAACCAAACTCCAATGAATAACTAAAAATAGAGCACGGGCTTGCCCCTCATGCTTTTTTGTTTTTCTGACCTCTGAATTTAAGAAAATCTAGTCCATTTTAAGGAACATTTCTATTTGTTTTATGCTACCATGAACAATATTATAATACATACATTATTTCAGTAGGATAAAAGGTAAAGGTAAAGGCCCTCCCGTTGATCGTCGATTTGCTCGAGCGGGCCCAGTAACGTCTCCATTGGAGACTTTGTTGTTACTGTGTCTGGCATATTGAATACGTCACAGGTAGCTTGCCAGGCTCTGCCGTGTGGGCGAGATACTCTCGGTAGCTTGCCGGGCTCTCCTAGAGGGGCGGAGGAATTGAACTCAGGTCGGCTATGTTGGCTACGTATAAGGCGAACGCCCTACCCGCTGTGCTATCGCTCCAGCCCCTTCAGTAGGATAAATACCAAAATATAGAAGAAAAACTGCTTATTATGACTAAGTAATTGCCTTGAACTTAAAGTTTTGAAGCGATGAATCTCAATGAACAAACATAAGTGGCTTACATATTTTAGATCATGTAAAATAATACTTATGAATCATTATGCATCCCTTTTTAGCCTTTGGCTAAGAAATAGATCCAATCCAGGAACCAAGAAGTGTTACCTCTCGGAGCTGATTACTGCTCGTCACATGAAACTGTTCTCCTGCAGCAAAATGTGCTTCCCGTTCCAGTTCCTTGAGACGAGACTGCGAATGCAGAAAACATGAATAATCTCACTGCTACTTCTCACCATTCAGGATCACTTAATTTTCTCATCAAACAATTCCCAACAAAAGCTCTGGTCAAGTTTAAGAAAGCCTATAATTCATAAAAATAGACATTAAAATACATTTTAAAACTCATGGTAGAATACTCCCATAGAATCATTGCACCAAACTTAGGGAAGCTGACTTAAAGAAGAAAATATTAGGGTCAGAGTGATAGTGCAGAGGGTATATGCATTTGCCTTATGGTCTCCTGAACCCCTCTAGGCATGATCCCTCAGCAAAGAGCCAGGTGTAAGCCCAGAGCAATGCCAGGTGATGCCCCAAAACAAAAAATCAGTTTAAATATTAAAAAAGAAGAAAACATTGCAAATACCTCCCAAATAAGGAAAGGGAATAAAGAATTCTCCAGAAATATCACAACTAGAAAAAGACTGAATATCACCCCCAAAACCACGAAGTATCAGAGGTCTCCCAAGGCAGAAAAGCTAAGAGCAAACTGCATGACTGGCACGGAGAGGGCAGTTTCAGGGAGCACGAGCAGCCCCCTGGAAAAGCCATCACCTCACAGTCGGACAGCAGAGAAGGTCTCCGCGGGAAGAACCCAGCTCACACTCTGAAACAGCAGGGAAACAGTGCTGAGCACACCAGGGCATGGGCTGTGTTTAAATGCCTCTCACACCCTTGCCATTTGGGTCAAAAGAAAAGTAGGAGTCTAGGATTTAAATAATGAGTGCAAGTGAGATAAGATAGTACAGGGTAAGGTGCTTGCCTTACACACAGATGACCCCGGTTCAATCCCCAGCACCACACAAGCCCCACCAAGAGTGATCCCTGAGCTCAGGGGCAGGAATCAAAGAAAACAGGAGGTAGTTCTAAATCAACCAACTCTTGTAGACTGGCATTTGCATTGTACTTTTCATCCAATGGGAACCTCCTTTGATTGAAATTTTGAAAGCTGACAAATAGGATCCAGAGAAACTAAGAAAGGGAAAAGTCTAAAAAATAAAATGGCATATGGTTCAACCTCAATGAAAAACCCAATGCAGACTTCTCAGAAAAAAAGAGCAAAGTTTCAATTATAGAATGATCAAATACCCATCCCTTCACCAGTGCCCATTTCCCACCACCACAGATCCCAGGATCCCTCCCACCCCCGGTCCCCCCATCCCACCCTGCCTCTGTGGCAGGGCATATCCTTTTGTACAATTTGTAAGTCTACAACTGTATCTCATGGTGTCTCACTAATAATAAATAAATAAATAAATAAATTTTTAAAAAAACCAATAACTTTTCATGCCGTATCAGGCACATGGTGAAGATTTCACTCTCCCCACTCCTACTCAACATGATGCTATAAATCCTTTCAAGAGAAATTGGATACGGAAAATATATAAAATGATTCAAATTTGAAAGGAAGAAGTAAAACTATCACCGTAGTGCCATGATAACTATTTGCATTAAAATAATAAAGTTTAAGTTTAAAAAAAAAAGAACAAAGTTTCCATATGACCCAGTGTTTTCACTTCTACCCCAAGAACATACAAAAAACCCCAAGAACTTAAAAAAAATGGGCACCTATGCTCAAGAGCCAGGATAAGGGATCAACCTAAATGAATGAAAACAGGGCTGGGACGAGAGTACAGAAGACAGGGTGCTTGCCTTGCACATGACTGACCCAGATTTGGTTCCTGGCATTCCATATGGTCCCCCAAGTATCACCAGGAGTGGAGTGCAGAGCCAGGAATAACCCCAGAGCATCGAAGATATTCCCCCCCAAAGGTCCAATGCTAGATGAATGGATAATCCACAGAATAATGGATATAGGGACACAGTAGAATATCACACAGTCATAAGAAAAGATGGGACTGTGAAGTTTACTGCAACTTGAGTGGATCTGGAGGGCATCATGCTAAGCAAAGTAACTTAGAGGGAAGACAAATACCAAGTGATCTTACTCATCTGTGGTCTGAAAAAAAAAAAAAGGGAAGAGGCAGTATATAATGATGCCAAACAAAAACTGAGATCACCAAGCAGTTGGGGGAAGGGACTGGATGTGGGGAAGGAGGAGGCGGAACTAGAAGTCATGCTGGGAGATGGATGAGGGGCTTGGGCACCATGGTGGTGGTGAGGGTATATGAAAGCTGTAAACATGAACACTACTGAAATCATGATGCCCAAACTACTCTAAACAAGAAAGCAACTCAGAACACACCCTCAGTTTAACTATGCTGCAAATCTGTGGTCAAAGCAACAAATGATAAAAAGGAAAACAAGGAATAAAACATAAAATTAAAAACAATGGATCCCTTCAAGAATAAATTATACTTCAGGAAACCAAAAATGCAGTGACAAATTGTTTTTTCTAGAAGAATGTAAAAGAATGTGACTTCCCGGTTAATTCACCAACACACCAGTGTGCTCCTGCGCTTAAAGTACACGGCTTTAACAAGTAAATGCAGAAAGAGAAGAACAAAAGACAGCCTCAAATGGAATGAAGCCAAACACAAAGTCAAACTGGATCAGAACTACGAAGCAGTGGACACAGCCAAGCCAGAGAAAAGCTGGGCACCAGGGCTGCAGCAGGTCATTGCTGCAGAGGGAAACAGTTGAGACCCAGTCCCCTCAGGAAGCAGCCAGGCCATGTTCTCCTACAGTGGGGACAGGGCCCAGCCAGGTGTTTGTGTTTCCTGAGGCCTTACAGGCAGAGGACTGCACACTGGTTCCAGTGGACTTCAGATACTCGCCATGCTGTAAAGACTGTTACGAACCCTCTCTGTTGATGGCAGGGTGCAACACAGCTTGCACACGAGGCTCTGCCACATGTTGTCTATGATGCTCCACAATTAGATCTCAATTCGTGTTCTTTTGGAGGGGCCACTCCTCGTGATTCTCAACCTAGCTTTGTGAGCCGGAGAGTTCAGAGTTTCAGCAACATAGTTCTCTACCTGCTTCAGGGGCCACCAGTGCTCAGGGGGCATTATGGTACTGGGTCCCAAACTTGGGCCCAAACACACTCTTCGAACTATTTCCTCAGCCCCTCAGTCAACTTTTTTGTTTGTTTGGAGGGTTGGGGCATAGCCAGCAATGCTCTGGGCTTACTACTGACTCTGCATTACTCCTGGTGGATTCGGGGACCATATCGGGTAACAAGGATAGAACCCAAGTTGGCTACATGCAAGGCAAATACCCTACCTGCTGTCCTATTTCTCCAGCTTCCCCCAAAGTCAAATTTAAAAGACAGATATCATAATGTGGATATTCTCTGACCACAATGAGAATGTGAATTAATTTTTTTTAAAAAGGAAATCTTAAAAAGCCACAAAAAAGTGGGAATTAAAGAGCACCTTAAAAACAAGAGATCCAGGGAAATATCTTGGGGGGCAGGGGCATGTGGCCGACATATGCAAGACTCCAAGCTTGATCTCTGACACCACATGGCCCTTTGAGCACCACCAAGTGTGGCCCTGGTGGTCCTCAGCACTGCTGTTTCCAAGTAAGACTAAATCATGAGAAAACAGAAAATCTGAATATTCGATAAGAAGATTGAGTCGGTAATTGAAAATCTGCAATTAAAGAAAATGCTGATCTTGTTTGATCTTTACTTACTGATCTTGCTGATCAGTAGGTAAAAAAATATTGAACAGTTAAAGAACTAAAAATCTTAAAGTTTTATCCCAACTTGGCAATACTTTCAAATTCATTTTATGTGGTCAGCATTACCCTGCCTCCAAAGACAAAGTAGTTATATAAACGAATCTACCAAAGTCTCTCACGAACATTATGCAGAAATCCTCAACACGGGGGTATGGTACCGCCAGCAGGTCAATCTGTACCTGTAAGGTGAGTGCATCAGCAGCCTGATGGCACCTTCAGACTTCCAGATACTCCAGAATTGCTGCTGTGCCTTTGGCCAGACACAAAAACTTGGGGCAAAGTTTTCCAAGAAAGTAAATGACCAAAAGTTAGGTATGTGGGAGACACACCCACAAACCACCTCTGGCTCAGCTATATAATTGGAGGCAAGGCCTCTCTGGTTCCTGATTGAACTGCTTAATGGCCATGATCCCAGAGACTCAGAGACAAATCTCGGAACCCAGCAGTTTTTGGTAGAGATGCATCTGGTCCTTACAATGGGTTACTGGCGCCGGACTACCCCAGGGAGGAAAGGGTGTTGTCCTTCCACCTGCTCTCCTTTGGTGGCTCGGTGGCTGCCATCTTCCAGAGGCCATTGGACAGTCAGGTTTGGGCCCACAGTGATGAGACACACAGGGCATCACGGGATGTGGGTGGAGCTGGCCCTTTCCTCCCCTTCCCAATGAGACCCTGAGTCACTGCCCACGAACGACCTCTCTGGTTCCTGATCAAGCTGCTTAATGGAAATGATCCCAGAGACTCAGAAACAAATCTCAAAACCCAGTGGCTTTTGGCAGAAATGCATCCGGACCCCACAGTAGGTTACTGTCACCGGGCCACCCAGGGGGGAAAGGGTGCTGTCCCTCCGCCTGCTCCCCCTAGGCAGTTCAGTGGCTGCCATCCTCCAGAGGCCATTGGACAGTCAGGCTTAGGCCTCAGTGACGAGACACATGGGGCCTCACAGGACAGGGGTGGAGCCGGCCCTTTTCTCCCCAACCCAACGAGACTCCGAGTCGCTGCCCACGAATGACCTCTCTGGCTTCTGGTCAAGCTGCTTAACGGCCATGATCCAAGAGACTCAGGAACAAATCTCCAGAACCCATCAGGTTTTGGCAGAAATCATTCCAGAGCTAATTGTTAAAATTTTGGAATTCCAAAATTGTGTGGCCACTATTGCGGCTGCACAACATCATATGTTATTCATAACCAGCAATAGGAAACAAATGGTCTACTGTTATCTTTTCAGCAGATCTGAGTGTTGGGGTAAAATCCCAAATAATCATGGTGGGTCTGGTGTCTAAATATTGAATGTAATCAAAGTAGAGAGAGAATAATTTGGAAATCATCTGCCCCACAGGTAGGGGGAGGGTGTGGGATGGGGGCATACTGG